TGTAATCCAAGCCCACTGCATTGACCCTCGTAGGTCCTACCTCTGGGGTAGAAAACAGTAGTGGTCTTCTAATTTACTTGCCCAACCCCCTTTCAGTCTCCTTCCAATCTAATCAGTTAACTCCCATGTAAATCTTAAAACACATTTTGGATCCTGTTTTCAGAAGCCCAGTACCAACCTTACCTTGGCATTTTTTACTTTTTTTACAATAGGGCCTCAACCAAAATTTCAAGCCTTATCTCTTGAACAAACCAGACAACTCCTTTGTTTAAACATGTCCCGTGTTTTCCTCCCTCCATTCTATTACTCACAGTTGGAATGCCCTACCTCATTGCTTCCTGTCAAACATACACTCGTTCAAATGAAGTTACTGGGTTTTCTGTAAGACATGAACTCTCTCTTACTTCATTTTTACTGACTTTATAGCATTGTTCACATTGGTTTTATTTGTGAACCCTGTTCTTGATTGTGGGCAAGGGTTGTCTATTTCACTTTTTTTATGTTTCTTCTAGTTCCTTGTGTGTAGCCAACAAATGTTTATTGTATTACACCTAGAATTCTAATATACTAATTTTAGGATCCGTACCATGGCTCTGCTAGTTTGTAGCTATGTGATTGTGTGATGTGTGTGTGTGTGTGTGTATGTGTGTGTTTTAAGTAGGCTCTAGGCCCAATGTGGGGGTTGCACTCACAACCCAGAGACCAAGAGTCACATGCTCTACCTACTGAGCCAGCCAGGTGCCCCTGTGTGTTATTTTCTTAATTATGTCTTTAAGTCTCAGTTTCCTCATCAAAAAATGAGGATCGTAACAGCACCCACCTCAGGGTTACAACAAGGATGAAACAAGAAAATGCATTTAGGATATTTAGTGTTGGGCTGGGCACAGCAGACAATCTATGGATTGTCGAGAAAGAAAAGATCCATTTCGGCTGGAGGAATAGTGGAGAGGGCCTGGGGGTGTTGGGGAGGAAGGTGAGCCAAGATTTGATTAGATAGAGAGACAAGGAAAGACTTTTAGGCAGAGGGACCAACCTGATAGAAGACTTAAGAAGAAACAGAAACTAGCAGGATGTGTCGAGGATGGGGCTGGTCAAGTCCCGGGAAACACCTTTGGAGAGATTCTCCAGGAAGAGAAAGAAGAGCCAAGTAGAGTAAATTTTCCAGAAGTATGAATTCACAGGTTGGAAGGAGGGGAAAATCAGTCTCTAGGGGTTTGCTGTCTTTGGGTTTGCCCTGACTTTCAGCAATAGCGACAGTATGAGAAGTGGTAGCTAGTTTGAGGAATGACAGAGCTGAATCAGCATGTATTTATAGCAAGGTGCAGCAAAGGATGGAAATGGACGAAACAACCACTAGCTGCTCATTATTAGCAGGGTTAAGCCTGAAATCCTATGTTCGTGCCCAAGAATTAATTATAGAAGTACAAGAAAGGGTGAATTTTTCTTAGCATCAGTTTGTAGGGGGAGGGGAAGCTTTAAAGGAAAAGGAAGAAATGGTTATAAAGTCAATTTGAGCCAAAGGGTCAGGGCAGTCTCTAAATTTGCTGAGGCAACAGTCTACGGTGCTCATGGATGTAGGGAGACAGACTAAGGAAGGGTAAAGTCTCACTGTACTTTAGTGATCAGATCACACTGTGGTCACATTTTGGTTGCAAGGAACAGAAACCCAACTGGGAAGAGAATGTACTGGCCTACAGAGTAGGCACAAATGGCACGCCTCGTAGATCTCTTTCACAGGCCAGGGCACCCATCCCCCAGCTGCTGTGAGTGTTGGCAGCTAAGGGTTCCCAGATGCCCGAAATTCCAGAGAATTGCCTTCAGCAGAAGGGAGCAGCTTTGGAGACCTTCACTCCTCGATGGCTTACAGCCAGTGGCTGACTGATGCTTGGGTACACAAAGCTGCCCAATGCCTCCTGGGGGGATAACTCCGTGGTGTGGTTTTATGCCAGAGCTCTCCGTTGTTGATCAGGCCAAGGCAAAATCAAGCTGCCTCTTGCCTAGCTCTTTCTTTTTGCTTGTTCTGCTCAACTTCCTTCCTTATGGGTTATTCTCCCCTTAATAAATCCCATTCCCAGATTTCCCTTGCAGGCTGTTTCTAAGGATTCTGATGAAAGACACCTACAAAAGCAAACAGCCAGAAAATAGCTAGATCCAGGTTCTGAGAGTCATTGCCTGTTGTAGCTTTCATCCGTGCCTCAGCTCTGATAGTTTGTTTTCATATTGGTTTTATGTATTCTTGAGCAAGTTCTTTCGTGGTCCTCCTGGTCAACTGCAGGGGATGAGCTAGGTAGTTCAGCAGCCTCCTTGCAAAGGAAACTTCTCCATATAGTGAGTTCCAACTAAGGTTCCAGGACTCATTCTGCTTGGACTGTCTTGGGCCACACACCTTTCCCTAAATCAATCATTGCAAATGGTGGTGGTGGTGGTGGTAGCACAAAGAGGAGGAAAGCAGTGCTCTGATGGGTCAGGACTGTCAAAGTGCTGCCCCTGGAAAGTAGTGAAGTCAGCCCCATGGCTACCATACTGACAGACAGTGGGGAGGACTGGTTCCCTAGAAGAAATTAGGCTCCTCTTACTAGAAGAAAGGGAATGTGTGCTGGAAGGACAAAAATAACACATGTTCCCAACAGATCTTGACGATCTGAAAGATGTCTACATGAAGTCCTCAGGATGGAAACCATAATTTGGCAAAATAAAAGGTGACTTCATCTTTATTGTTTTGGGGATGGGCAGAAGGTGTGGAAAGGGGGGCATAGTTGTCATCTTCAAATATTTGGGATGTTGTCCTGATGAAGAGGGATTAGACATGTTCTCTGAAGGTTTAGGAGATAATTAGGACCTAGACTCAGAGGTTAGAGGGATGGATGTAGATTATCCATAAAATATAGACATGTAAATAAATAAGTAGCTTGTACATGCATATGGATACAATATAATTGCAATTTAAATTGTCCAGAAAAGGAACAGACCTATTTGAGAGGTGGTAAGCTTGCCATGCCTCAGACTGGGAACAGGCTTATCACTCTTACCATGACTCATAAAATATGCTTGTGCTTCCTTCTCGCTTTGTTTTTTTCATAAAGACTGTGTCTAGGTAGATATTATCTGGAATGCTCCGCCCCAGTCTTGTCTTGCAGAAACCTGCCCCACCCCACCAATTTCAAACCAGAGTACTTTCTCCTTTAAGGTTTACCTTTGTGTCCTCTTGTTAATCCTGACACTCAGGATATGCTGCCTGGCATTGCAATCACCTCACCATTTGCCTTCATTCTCCCCAGTTTGGTGAACGCACCCGCTCAGCGTCTTACTCAAGAAATATCTGCTGAATAAATCATTTTATCTGGTCTTTTGTGGACCGATTCTTGCCTTGGAGGGAAGGTGTGTGACTAAGGGGCCACTGGGATCCCGCTGAACTTCAAGATTCTGTGCCCAGCAGCACCTTGCGCTAAACTTGAAGCTGACTTACAGATAAATAATTGGGAATATCCAGGGCCACTTTGGCTTTTGCAGCTGTCGGCCGGAGAGGAAAAGGAGGCATTCTCTCTGACAGACCAACAGGCCCTCATGGGAGATCTGGGGGACAGCAGGGGATCATAGTAAGAACTCACTCTGGAACATTGAGTTGCCCCTCTCAATCTTTGGGCCTTGGCCTGGCTGCTCCTCCTGGAACCTGGAAGAACGTCTTACTTAGCTCCCTTCTTCCTCTAGCTACTGTTACTCCTCCCTCCAACCCTGCCAGGCGACACCATCCCCAGGAAGCTTTCGGGAAAGCACTTCCCCCTCTTTTCCACCCGCCAAGTTGGAGTTATTTCTCCTTTTCTGGACTCCCTCCCATTGCGGGAGGAGAGGGAGCAAATGGCCTGCCTGCACCAAGGCACTTCTCACCGCAGATCTCGCTTTACTTGTTTCTCTCTCCCTTAAGTCTGCTTTCTCCTTGTTGAAGCCAACCGGGTCCGTGTGTGGCCTCCGCGCCTAATGCAAGAGACCCACGCGTGCACATGCGTGCATACCCCCCGCCCCCTTTGCTACAGGAGACGATGCCAGAAAGAGTAGGACGTCAGCATTTTAGAATTTTTGCAATTGCAAGAGTCGTCGGGAGTCACCTAGTGACACCTTCCCTTTTACAGATGTGCTTCCTGGAGTCCCCTGGGAGAAGCTTTTGGCTTCATTCAGCGCCTTTTCTTCCCGAGGCCCAAAGCACTTTTGCTGTTGATGATCTCAACCTTCTAGGCAGGTAGGGAGAAGTGGGTAGGTGTTAATATCCTCCCTTTTCCCCTAGGGGAAACTGACTCAGAGAAACGAGGCGACCGGCCTCGGTGGGGCGGGGGCTGTAACGGGAATTCAGGGCTCCGGGCCAATGTGGAATTTACTGTGCCTCCTCTGGGGAAGCGTGAAAGTGAAGTAATCAACTTACGAGCCCCAGGCGAGGACCCTTTAGCCCCTAGAAGGATCGGGTTGGGTCAGGAGGATTAATGCAGTTAAGGGCTCGCGGCATTGACCCCTTGGCAACTTGGCGAAGTCCAGCGGGTCCGCCGCCCTTCCCTCGGCCGGGTGACCAATGGGCTTCGGTCTCTTTAAGGCCCCGGCGCCCCGCCTCCGGCTCGTCGCCGACCTCCTCCCACCTCCCAGCCGCTGCTCCGCCAGTTCCAGACTTCCCTTGGCGATGAGGTCATCTTCTCGCTGCCCATTGGCTGCGCCTGGCCGTCAGTCACAGGAAGTCCCGCCGGCGTCCTCACCGCCTCCGTACCCCTCCCTTCCCGCCCTCCCTTTAGTTCTACCGTCCCAGCCTCCGCAAGGCCTCTGATTGGCCAGGGCCGCCGTCACTCTTCCAGCAGGCGGTATGGGAGGCGGGAGGAGGGTGTGGTGGGAGGGGCCGCAGCTTCCGTGGCTGAGAGGAGCCGGCGGCGGCAGTGTCTGTGGTGTCCGAGGCGGCGGCGAGAGCGACCGTTCCATCCTCCCCACCCCCTCGGCTCCGCTCGCCACACACTCTCCTCTCGTGCAGACTTCTCCTCAGCTCCGTGCGCACTGGCGAGACGTTGAGCCTCGGGAGGGGAGACGCGCGGCGAGAGCCGGAGGGGGACCGCCGCGGAGCTCCGGCCGGGAGGAGCGCGAGGCGGTGAGTGAGAGTCTGGGCAGGGAGCCCCTCCCCCACCGCGGCCCCGCCCCGAGCATCCTTTCTCCTCGCGACCCCGCCGCGCGCCCTCGGGGTGTGTCTGCGCGGGCGTCGCCGCTCGGCCCCTACCCCGTCGCCGCTCAGCTCGCCCGCCCCTCGCCTCCGGGCCGGGTCCCCCAGCCGCGGCGCGGGGCGCGGCCGTGCACCTGTGAGCCGCCTGGCCTGGCAGCGCCGGTGAGGGGATGAGGGCGGTCCCGCACCCATTGCGCCCGGGTGTGTTTTGACTGCAGGGTCCCGGGGTCTTGTGCAGACCCTTCGGATCCATGTGCAAGCCTAGGATTCCCTGGCGAGGGAGCCTCACCTGGACTTGTTGATGCCTCTGTCGGCCACCTGAATGCCGCCAGGTGTAAGGGCTCTGGCCGATTTGAAACTTGACGGCCAGGAACTTGACCCTCTCTCTAAGAAAGTGTCAGGACGCTTTGATTCCACCTCCCACTCTGGCCGGTGCCGTAGGAAAGCACTGATACTCTAGTAGCTTGGGCTGGAGCTTTCAGATCAGGTTCGCCAAGCTGCCCTTCGCCGGCTTTGTAATCTTGGGCTTCGGTTTCCTAATCAGGAAAATGGGCATAAGACCTACTACATGGGATCATTGTGAGTTGAGAACGACGGGTAGATCGGTTTGTATTCAAGCACCAGCCCAAATCGGCTTTGTCAGGATCTCTGTTTTCTCACTATTATATAGCGTAACAAAAAGGCAGTTTGGTGGACACTCAGCTGTACTGGGCATGAGGTATGTGTATACAGGAATATGAAAGATGTCACTTAAAAATAATAATGAGATTACACCTAGCTTCTTGTGTTTTCACATACTTTGAAGTTTGTAAGAAGTCTGAAATGTTCCCAGCTTGCCAACTTTTGAGATCTTCTCAAGATCTTTTCTACCTGAAGCCAAAACTCGTGATACACTATTTTTAGTAAAAAGTATAATTCATGTATTACATATTAGGGGACCCCGAAAACTCCACAAATTTCACTTAAGCAGTTTTACTGTTGAAAAGCAGCCACCTCCCAGGAGTGAGGTGGTACAGCCAGCTGGCACATGGCCCTGGGACTGCAGGGTGGGGAACCCTTGGCTAAAAGTTATTAAATTAAGTTTTGCTTAATGTCATTTGCATTTTTCATAGTGAATCAAAGAGCTTTATGATAGTTTCTTAGTGAAATGATTTTAAAAGAGGCAGACCATTACTGCTTTTTTCAAAAGCCCGTGCAAAGAAAAACTGACTATAGTCTGTTTCAGTATTGGCTTCAGTTCTTTGCCAGTAACTGTTAGGAAGAGACCCTGTTTAGAAAGGCTTCCACAAGTCACATCTCTGGTTAAGTTTTTTATTTGGTGTAAAATCATGAGATGGAAGAGTAAGATGTATCCCATAATCCTAAAGTATTTATTGCAGACTTTCCACATCCTTTAGTCCTCTACTGACTGCTATGAGGAAGGGATTCAAAAGAAGTATGAAACAGCATCTCAGCCCATAAAGGGCAAAACCATAAAGTTTGGGTCACTCAGTACATTTGGGTACTATTTAAGTAATGACTTCATTCATTTATTCATTCAGTAAACTTGTTCCTTGCCTATAACATGCCAGGTATTTTTCTTTTTTTTTTTAAGATTTATTTATTTCGGGATCCCTGGGTGGCGCAGCGGTTTGGCGCCTGCCTTTGGCCCAGGGCGTGATCCTGGAGACCCGGGATCGAATCCCACGTTGGGCTCCTGGTGCATGGAGCCTGCTTCTCCCTCTGCCTGTGTCTCTGCCTCTCTCTCTCTATCATAAATAAATAAAAAAAATAAAACATTTAAAAAAAAAAAAAGATTTATTTATTTGAAGGACGCCTGGGTGGCTGCCGTTAAGTGTCTGCCTTTGGCTCAGGGCGTGATCCTGGAGTCCCGGGATTGAGTCCGGCATTGGGCTCCCTGCATGGAGCCTACTTCTCCCTCTGCCTGTGTCTCTGCCTCTTTCTGTGTGTCTCTCATGAATAAATGAATAAAATCTTAAAAAAAAAAAAGATTTCTTTGAGAGTGAGAAAGAGCACAGAGGGAGAGGGCGAAGCCGACCTCCTGCTGAGCAGAGAGCCCAATACTGGGCTAGATTTGATCCCAGGACCTGAGATCATGACCTAAGTCAAAGGCAGACACTTAACTGATTGAGCTACCCAGGTCCTCCACCAGGTGTTTTTTTAAAAGCCGAGTTTATCAGGGTAAGTGAGGTATAGTCTCTGCTCGTATGAGCTCACAGTCTATCTAGTGGGAGAGGCAGAAAGTGACAGATAATTGTAACACACTGAAATAAACTCTAGAACTGTATGGGAGGGTCAAGGGAGCTTTTCCTTTTCATTTCAAAGAGAAGATGGCATTTGAGCTGATCCTTAACTCATTAGATGAAGGAGAGGAAGATCATTCCAAACAGAAGTAACTGAGCTTGGAAAGATTTCTTGATAGATCTTCTGACTGCAGGTATAAGCCCTAGGGAAGTGGAAGGAAACTGACATTTCTTTTTTTTTTTTTTTTTTTAAAGATTTTATTTATTTATTCATAGACAGAGAGAGAGAGAGGCAGAGGGAGAAGCAGGCTCCATGCAGGGAACCCGATGTGGGACTCGATCCCGGGTCTCCAGGATCACACCCTGGGCTGCAGGCAGCACCAAACCTCTGCGCCACTGGGGCTGCCCGAAACTGACATTTCTTGATGCCCATTATATAATAAACATTAAGTTAGGCTTTTAATATTACCACTTAATTCTCACAACGACCCTATGAGGCAGATATTACCTCCACTTTAGGATAGGAAGACTGAGGCTCAGCCTAGTTAAATAATTTGTCTAAGGGTTGCACAGTTAGTGATAGAGCCAGGACTTGAATTTCTGATTTAAAAGTATGTATGCTCATTTCCTTTTTTTTTTTTTAGATATATATATATATTTTTTTATTTTGTTTATTTATGATAGTCACAGAGAGAGAGAGAGAGGCAGAGACACAGGCAGAGGGAGAAGCAGGCTCCATGCACTGGGAGCCTGACGTGGGATTCGATCCCGGGTCTCCAGGATCGCGCCCTGGGCCAAAGGCAGGCGCCAAACCGCTGCGCCACCCAGGGACCCTGCTCATTTCCTTTTAACACTCTACAGAAATAAATGAGGTGAGACTGTTCCAGCTATATATATATATGACATATATATGTCATTTTACTACATAAATTACAAATTACTTTCTGTGAAATAAATGTTCATATTTGATTTAGAGTTGCTAAAACGTGTATAATAAAGGCTATCAAGTGGTATTTATGTTTATAAGTGTGGTGATATTTGCTAAGAAGTGGTTCATGGAAACATTTAATGGAAGACATTGACATATACAGATTCTATATGGGGCACTTAACAAAGCTATTAAACAGATATGGACTTTTCTTGAGGCCATAGCTTAAATATTTAAGTGTATAAAGAAAAGGATGGCCAATGAAATAGAAAAGGAAAGAGGTAAAATGGTTGTGAATAATGATTTTTTTTGAAAAGGCAATTAGAATTTTGAAGTCTTAATAACAGAGGTTTTTATATTTAGAGAACCCACTATGGATGGTAAACTCCACAAAGGCAATTTGTTTCTTTTATTCTGTTAGCTCAAGAGCAATTCTTGGGACATAGCAGATACTCAGTAAATATTTGTTGACTAAAAGATGAATATGAATAAATACATATTTACAGTGAGTTGTATGTTTATGTAAATACTAAGGTTGATAGAATTGATTTAAGAACATTTTCGTCTGCTGAAAAGAAAATCTTTGGTCAGGAGGTTATATTTCAGAAGGTCTTGAAAGAAAAGAGGGAGACACTGACAGGTTATAGATGAAGTGGTACAGGCATATACCATATAGGTATTAATAAACGCTTATACATTGGAAGAAAAGGAACATTGAACAAAGGGAATGGCCCACTGCACCATTATATATAGGTACTGTTTAATTCTAAGGCTTTAACAAATTTTGTGAATCAAATTTCTGCTCTTAAGGAACTTAGAGTTTTAGAGACTGTTAGGTGTGTTGCCTATTATTGTATAACATGTTACTCCAAAAGTTAGTGCTTAAGATAACAGTAAACATCATCTCTCACGGTTTCTGTGAGCCAAGAATTTGGGAGCAGCTTGAGCAGTGGTTCAGGCTCAGGACCTCTCAAGGGATTGCAGTGATATGTCATCTAGAGTTGCAGTCATCTGAAGACAGGCTGGTGGATCCTCTTAAGGTGGCTACTCAGATTGCTGACAAGTTGCTGTAGGCTATTGGTGGGAGGTCTCTGTTAGTATGGGCTTCTCCGTAGAACTACTTGAATGCCCTCAGTGCATGGCAGCTGACTTTTCCCAGAGCAAATAATCCAAGAGACCAAGTTGTGTTGTTGTTGTTGTTGTTGTTTTTTTTTTTTGATCTAGCTTCAGAAGTCACATACCATCATTTCTCCATTATACTATTGGTCACACATCGTGGGAAGGGATTATACAGGGGTATGATTAGAGGAGGTGAGGATCCTTAGGGGCCATCTTGGAGGCTGGCTACCACAGTGGTAGCATAGAACAGAAAAAGTGTTGGAAGAAGGTGCAAAGTGCTGGGGGAGGGGAAGGAAGGATTCAGAGGTGGGAAAGGTTACTTTTGGGAAAATGAGGGAATTGGGAAAGATTTAATTCTTTTAACAGATTATATATATATATATATATTTATTAAAAGATTTTATTTATTTATTCATGACAGACACACGGAGGGAGAGAGAGAGAGGCAGAGACACAGGCAGAGGGAGAAGCAAGCTCCACTCAGGGGGCCCGACATGGGATTTGATTCCGGGTCTCCAGGATCGGGCCCTGGGCCGAAGGCGGCGCTAAACCGCTGAGCCCCCCGGGCTGCCCTTAACAGATATTTACAGGTATTTATTGGGTGCTTACTGTGTGCCTTCAACATGATAGGCTAATATGTG